CAGGCTGGCCTCGAACTCACTGTGATCCTCCTGCCTCAGCCTCCTGAGTGCTGGGGTTACAGGCATGCACTACCACACGCAGCCTTGCAATGAATTCTTTTTTTTTTTTGGTTTTTCTCCGGTACCGGGAACCGAACTCACGACCTTGCGCTTGCCAGGCAGACGCTTTGCCGCTGAGCTAAATCCCCAGCCCACTCTTCTCCTAAATTTTAATCTGCTTCACTGGCATAGTCTTGCAGACTGTAGGGCAGCCCCTTTCGGCAAGGATTTACTCGGAGGCCCCAGCTAGGTGTATTCTTTCCTCTTTCAGAAGATCTTTTTATAATTTTAAAGTATATCGAATGTGAGGACAGAATCTGCAGGTCCCGTTATTTATCAGAATAAACCTTAGTTTTCAGGCTTACGATCTTACACTGTGACATTACCCCATAGGAAAGTAAATAGTATTTTGCAGCAATAGTTTCTTTACATAAAGTACTTACTGGTGAAGTATCTTTAAAATTGTTAAAGCAAACAAAAATAATTGCTATAATGATTTTTTGTATTTGTTTACACATTAAATTTTTTCAATATAAAGAACAAAATATTATAATCATTTAGTCAGATAGTACTAAATTACACTGTCAGCTATGAAATAAATATACTTCAAAACTGTAAAGTAAATAAATAATATAGGATTAACATTTTCATGAAAGACAAAAAGTATATATAACAGAATTACAATTTTCTAAATACATGTCACCCATAAGCATAGCAGTGTGTTCGTGCTGGGGATTGATCCCAGAGCTTCACCTACTCTAGTCAAGGGTTCTTCCAGTGAGTTACAACCCCAACCTATATACACGCATTTACTTTTATGAATAGCATTTCTTAAGACAATGAAAACGTACACATTTCTTTTATGATGCATTTGCTAGGAATTGAACCCAGGGCTTTGTGCATGCTAAGCATATACTCTACCACTGAATTACAACTCCAACTCTAACAATATGCAAACTTCAAGCCAGGGATATTTTTGCATACGGATTATCTCATTTATTCTTTTATATATCACACTTTTCCACACGCTTTATAATGAGCTTTATGTAGTGAATTTCATAAGAATATTTTCACAAAGAGAAAGCTGAGTCCATGTCAGTGACTAACCCTTAAGGAGAGGTTCACTATATAGTAATACGGAAACATTTTCCACAGCACAGATGAAGAAAGCATTTGATCAGAGCACTCATGAAATAAAACACTGAATAAAAGTGACTAAATGGTGCTACAGGTAAAGGATTCATACTGAAAAACTAGATGCACCATGAGTCAGAGGCAGAATGCATTCTGAATGAAGCTAATGCCTCCAGGTAAAAGTCCAATTTTGGTGCATGCTATGGACAATAGGAGTCAATAATGTGAACTTGAAATGATTAAGCAAAAATGATTAGGAAAGCAAACACACAGTTTGGTAGAGTTTGGTAATGTTTATTTGTTTGTGACTAGGACTCTATGTATTTCAGGCTGGCCTTGAACTCATTCTGTACCAGGCTGCCCTGAAAACTTGCTGAGTCATCCTACCTCAGCTTCTGGACTGCTGAGATTATAGATGTAAAATACTACATCCTGAAAATGTGGTGACTATTTAATGGAAAAGATTAAAAACAGAAAGAACAAAAGGCAGGGAGACTATGGTACTAAAATTTTGCATCTCTGTTTCATTTTGGTGGGACAATTTGTCAAAAAGGGCAGAATAAGTTTTGTAAAGAATATATCAGGCAGTTGGGTCTGGTGGTACCTGCCTATAATTATAATCAATAAAAATGGTGTACAGAGCATCATAGGAAATCAAGGCAACAGAAGACCCCTCCCCCAAGTTCTTCAAACTCTCCTAGGGCAGAACATGAGGACACAAATGGAGAATAAAGCAAATGCAAGGTAGCAAAACTCTATGAAATGTTTATGGAAAGGATGAAGAAATACGATGAGCTCAAAGAAGAAATAAATGAAAACTTCACAGCATTATCACTCAATATGCCCCAGGTGAATTCGGGGGAAAAACTGAACAGCTTGTCCAAAACAGTTCAAAATATGAATGATAGACTAAACAAAGATATAGAAAAAAGACAGACAAAAATTTATAGACTGGAAAAATATTTCTTGTACCAGGACTCCAACAAAAAGCAAGTGCAGCAATTTCAATTTCAGGAAAGATAAATATCAAATTAAAACCGAGTAGAAGATACAATAAAAGCCACTTCAAGGACAAAGGAACAATCCAACAAGAAGTGACAAAGTTTATAAACCCTAAAGCACTAAATACCGGTGCAACAATATTCATAAACCAAATACTGCCAAACAGAAAAGATCAAATTAATACTAGCACAATCATAGTGAGAGATCTTAATACTCCAGCTTCATACACGGACAGACAAACTAAACAAAATCTCAATAAAGAAATATCAGACCTGAACCACACCCTTGATCATAGAAACAAAAGTTTTTACAAAATATGCCATCCCACTATAACACTGTATACATTCTTTTCTGCAGCACATGATTTTTTTTTCCAAAATAGACCATATTGGGGCTGGGGATTTAGCTCAGCGGCAAAAGCGCCTGCCTGGCAAGCGCAAGGTCGTGAGTTGGGTTCCCGGTACCGGAAAAAAAAAGTGCATAAATATACATTTATGTTTTGCCTTCCTTCCTTCTTTTATCTTCTTTCCCTCATCCTAGTCCTTTCTTCCTTTGAGCAATTTCTTCCTCTTTCCTATCATCGATTGTACGTTTTGAGTTTTACCTAGTGTTTCAGGTTCCTGCACCAAGGAAACAATATGATGTTTACACATGTGGGTCCGATTTATTTCACTTATGAGTATGGTCTCTAGTTGCATCCATTTACCTCCAAAAGCCTCAAGTTTATCTTTTTTAATAGCTGAGTAACACTCCACTGTATAGAAATACCACAATGTTTTTATTCATTTCTCAGTGGATGGGCATCTGGGTTGTTTCCAAGATTGAGCTATAACAAATTGTGCTGCTATAAACACGGGTGCACCTATATCGCTGTGGTATGATGTCTTTAATTCTTCTGGGAAAATACCCTGAAAGGGAATAGCTGAGTGAAAGGGGACTTCTAATCCTAGTTTTGTGAGGAATCTCCAAACTGAATAACTGCAATGACTGTATTGCTGTTGTCTGATGGTGCATGGAAATGAACAGTTAATGCTCACAATTTTTTATATTCTGATCGACTGTGCACGCTTGTGTCTGGTGGTCTGAGCAACTGATTTGAAGGTAACAATATGCAATGGAGGGGCTGGGGATTTAGCTCAGCGGCAAAAGCCCTGCCTGGCAAGCGCAAGGTCATGAGTTCCGTTCCTGGTACCGGAGAAAAACAAAAAAAACAAACAACAAAAAAAAAATATGCAATGGAATTACAATGGTGACCTCCTACCATCTAGTCTAGTGAAACTCTGTATTATCTCTAAGGTTTTATTGAAGAATTATTTCCTTATTCTCTTTAATGATTCGAGCAATCTTTCAATCTTATATCTGATAATCTGAGCAATGTAGTTGAGGATAGCAATATGCAATGTAACAGCTACTGTTGATTACTATTAATTTGTCTTCAGACCCTGTATCTCTTTGAATGTTCTTGCTTTGATTTGTTTATGTTTGTGATACTGATATGCTGCTACTGTTCTATTTTTTTTGTTTGTTTGTGTCTCATGTACTACTCTCTTTAAAATTAAAAAAAAAGTGCATAAATACATACTTAGATTAACTAGTGCCTTAGTTGCTAATCCTAATGAGAAATGGTCTACTTCAGTTTTGGCAAACCTATGGCACACCTGCCACAGAGGACACTTTGGATCACTGAAATGCCTAAAAGGTTTGCCATCACTGTCCTACTTATTTAATAAATATATATGACTTAAATAATGTAGTATATATGTAAGATATCAAGTTACTGAAAAGCTTTTAAAAGCTGGATTTGGAGAGTATATCAAACAAGGATAGCCATAATGTCAAGTTATTTTCCTGATAAAATAATATTACTGGTAAATATCACTGGTAAAGAGAAAAATATATAATTTCATAATGTACTTAATGCTGATAATTCCCAAAAATAACTATTTTAATAAGAACAGTAACATCTAACTTTATTTACCAAATATTTGTTCAAATCATGAGAACATAAAAAATCATGGAGTTTTTTATTTCTGGAACTTTGAGGTTTACTTATTTCTGCATGTGCCCATTTAACTCCAACTATATTGAATAACATCTAAATTTAATTGATTAAATTAATAATACCATCTAGAACTAGGAAATTATCTGCATACATAACACACATTCATATACAAAACACAAACACATGAGCAAATGTAATCAGAGATTTTATAGCCTTTGTTCTAAAAATTTAGTCATGAATCAGGCAATAAAGTGATCCAAAGGTCATTGCTATACCTTAACATTACATTTGATACAAATTGTGTTTCGGACAAAATTGAGACAAGTTGACATTCTGTACTCAATAACGGTTAAACATTTTTGAGTCATTATTTATGTAGAAAAGTTTAAAACTTTTTTTGTTTTTCTCCTCATGTGGTGGGCTTTTCTTATAGAGGCTTGGGCTGAACTTTAGGCTGCAGCCTTCTGGATGACCGCTGCGCCTGTCTGGGGGATAGCGTGCTCAGTGTGGTTCTAGTTGGGCTTGCGGGACAGATGAGTTCCCTGAAAGCCCTAGATGGACACACCAGCAATGTACGAACCCCCAGGAAAAGTGAGAACTGAGATGTAGTGCGTGTAGTAAGGGAAAGAGGTGAGAGGACGTGAAGGATGACATCTGAAAAGACGAAGAGGGCTGAGCTGAGAAATAAGTGCAGTAAAGGAAGAAGGCACAGAAGAGACGAGAAAGGAAGAGTATTTGGAGCAGGTTTGGACACTCCTTATGTTTCCCTAAGTGGCCTTGAAATTCCATATTGCTCATTCAAAAATGAGAGCAACAGGGGAAAAAAAGCAGGAAATGTTAGAAAAGTGTAAAGCAGAGTTTCAAAATGAGTTTTCTTTCTACTGAGATGTTCCTACAAGAAAGGCCTCAAACCAGCCAGGCACAGGAAAATTTGTAGCCGGAGTCAGGGCTGAGAATAAGAATCCACACTCCACAGACACATGGAGCAACTATGATTTTCAGCCAAACTGGGGCCTTTCAATCAAAGATACCTATATATGTGGAGCGGACCACTGACTTACACACTCAATTTGTTCACAAGAGCTGGTTGTAACTCAAGTTGGTTGTAAGTCAGTTTTGCCCATAAGAAATCATGGAAATACCTGTAATGCATTCCAGACTTCCCAAAGCACCCCTTAACTAATCTTCTCATAAGAAAAGGGTGGCATAGTGTGCATAATTTACCAGAAACACCCATAATTTCACCAAAAAAGGGAATTAATCTCATATGACAAATCCCTTTCCAATAAGACTCAGTAATTAGGTTTGTCAAAAAACACACTACAGAAAACAGTGCAGAGAGTTGTAATAAAGTCAAAAATATGCTTATGATCCAGTGCTTCCACTTCTGGAAATATATGTGCAGGTTAATGGAAAGACCTTGGTGATAATAGTAGGACTATTGCGGACATTGAATAGGTTGAAACAACCTACTAGATTTACTGATGAACTATATGTAATGTGTACATGCAAAAATATTAAGCCTTACAAATTTAGGCAATTTAGAAGCATGCTACATTTAATAAACATTTTTGCAGAGGCTCAAAGAGAACATTTATTCTGGGCCTGGTTGTGGAACATTCATAGCAGTCAGCTATGAGTTTGGCCTCAGAAACATGCTGGTCTGTCTCTGCGGTCTTCTCTGTGCCAGATCTGTGAATGTTACAGGAGTCTCCTTCTGGAGGTGGTCTTTAGCGTCATTCCATCCTGAGCAAAGATGACACTAAACTGAGTAAAATTAGCCCTTCAAAGTACAAGAGAAATATTATGGTAATCCAAATGTGATGTGCTTAAATTAGTCCAATTCATAGAAACAGAGTGAGAAGTATGCTAGCCAAAGGTCTAGGAAAAAGAGAGGAGTATTTCTTCAATTCGAGAATTTTTTCTGTATTGCAAGATGAACATATTCTGGAGATTGCTAGCAAAAAAATGTATGTTACATTACTCTACTAAACACCTTATAAAATATGTAATTACATGTTTTAGATATCTATTTTAATTACTTTTTAAAAGAACCAGTACTGTAATAATTGGTGGTACTATGTGATTTCTTTTCCTCAGTAGTTTTTACCAGAGTTTTTGACTGTGTTGGCTGCTGTTGATGATTTGTAATGAGGCAAATACTTTCTTCACAGGAAATGGAAGACTTCGTGCAGAGCTCTGGAGAACATGGAGTTGTGGTGTTTTCTCTGGGGTCGATGGTCAGTAACATGACAGAAGACAGAGCCAATGCGATTGCATCAGCCCTTGCTCAAATTCCGCAAAAGGTTAGCTAAGGTGCTTCAGTGGTGGACAGCTACTTAATGAGGCTCTAAAGAGTCTGCTTACAGTAATTTCCTTTTGAAAGATACACCTTCATGATTTTGCTCATTCAAGCCATAAATCACTTTTAGAGGATATCAGCCATGCACTCCAAGAGTACACATGATACTTTGTATACCATTGGGATCAGAAAGATAATATTTAACAAGTGTACTATGAACATGGTGTTGAGTAACACTGCAGGCAGAGACAGAGCAGTGACTGCATACTGTCCTGCCATTACCTTAGGATCTTTGTACAAGTACTGAGAACACTGTGCACACTATGGAAAAATACCAGAATCTAGTTAAATGCTGAAGCGTCAAACAGCGGCACAATAAAAATAAGCGAGCATTGAATAATCAGATGTGCATTACTCAGCAGCATCTCTTATGTGATTCTGCCCACTTCACCCCATAAATGCTAGAAAGGGCCTATCCATAATGCTATTCCTGGTGCTTTTCAGAGGAAGAAAGATGCTGATTCACCAAGAGTGGGGATTAAGCAGAACTGTCCATTTGATTGTCTTGGAGCCACATAGGGGACTTGCACATCACACTTTCAGTGTGTCTGGGTAGGTAGTGGGGACATGGCCTTGGCTCACGCTCTTTCCCTTTCCTCCCAGCACTGGCCCCCTGCCCTGCTCCAAGACACCATCATCCAAGCAGCTCTGCTCTTCTGTGTCCTTACCCCTTAATGGTTTCCCTTGGAGCCAGCCTATCAGGGACTGACTGTACTGGAACCATGAACCAGATAAACATTTCTTTCTTTCAGCTGTGGATGTTGTGCACTTTATCTGAGTTATAGGGAAGCTGCCTAATACACAAAGGTGGTATGAGGTAAATGGGGTCACTGCTATGATTATATCTGTTCATGTGGTTTGGAAGCTTTTGAAACTGATTTGTGAAAGAATATGAGAAAGTTTTGTAGATGTGTAGTAGGGAAGCCTAGGATACTGTGAGTAAAGCCTAATGAGAGATTTTAGTCAGAGCTCAGAGGATGAAAATTCTACTACCAAGGGAGGTCATCCAATGAGCTCCTGAGATGGCAGTGTGTGAGGCTCCTACTTTTGAATGAAGCTGAAGGTACAGTGGAGACTCTAAGAAGTCAGAGGTGATAAGGACGGGGAACATCTGCTAATGAAAGCCATAGGCAGTACTTGGAGGTTGTCCAGGAGAGGCTACATGGTTTGCAATCTAGAAGGCCATAGGGTTGTGTCTCCTAAGTCCTTTTGATCACAAATACCACCCTCTTGTGTCATGGGTACCAGACATGAAGGTAGAGCCATTAATACTTGCCATTGAGTTTCAAGCTTGCTTTGGCCGGATTTTTTTCCCATTCTGCTGTTTCTCATTCTTGGAATAGAAATGCTTTCCATGGAACATTGAACTACAGCATATGCAACTTCAGACATGCAACTTCCCTTATGTCTCCAATGTGGCTTTTACTTGTACTTCTGAGCAATGCTGGATCTATTGAGACTTTCAGAAGGGAGCATCAGATTTTCACTTGTACACAGCACAATTATGAACTGATTATTGCCTTTATTTGGACATTCAGTATGGCTTAAGGAGATTTGCTTGAGTGTAGAATTAAAGAGGAGGAATGTCAAAGTTAAGTTTGGCAACTTGATTGTTTCATTAGCTGCCAAGAGAATCAGTGAAGCATACAGTTCAGTGATTGTAGAAATATCATGAAGGCTTGACCTGCAGTGCTGTGTCTGGTTCATGGTGCCTTCCTCTCTGGTATTGTTTCCCTGCCTTGCTTTCTGGCCAACAATAACTAAACAACTTTGTTCCACTATACACTTTTCCCTTGATTTTCTCACTTGGACCCTGCCAGACATGAACTGAACCTACTGAATCTGTAAGCCAAATAATCTTCTCCTTTCAGATGTAGGGGTCAAGTACTTTGACTTTCTTTCAGTAATGGGACATCTGTCAAATACAGCAACTCCGAGTGCAAGTATCAGCAAAATCAGTTAGACTTAGAGAAAGAGAAATCTCAACCTACCATGGCAGATCTGTACCTGGAATGTTTAAAAGAGGATGATGTCAACAAAAGTCCCTACTCTTTGATTTAAAATGTATTCCTCATGGCCAAACATTAATAAAATAACATGAAATAAATGGTTCCAAATAAATTTCCTTAAATAGCATCTTTAAAAGGCAACATTATATTTAGCACTTCAGAATTAGTACAAAATATAGATTCTTTAGTGCGGTCAGGTACTTTAATAGATTGTGACACTAGAATATAGTGACTATATCTGAAATATGTATATATGATGTTGATAAACTCACTTGTCTAAGATTCAAATTATGAAATATTGAGACTTCATGCCAAATTTAATTAAGTGTAAAATAGATGTAGGAAAAGTATGTATTTTATTCACATCACCATTTTAGTAGTGATCATTATCATCTCTCTCATTTCCTTATCTGCCATATGATAGGCATTTAACTGTGTGATTTTTTAAAACTCTTTAGCCTTTGATCATGCTATAATTTAAAATTTGACTGAAGTAACTAGAGGTTTTCTGACCCTAAAAGGTTGTGTGGAGATATGATGGCAAGAAACCAGCCACTCTAGGACCCAACACTCAGCTGTACAAATGGATCCCTCAGAATGACCTTCTTGGTGAGACTCCAGAGAACAAATCCTGAAACATGAGAAACAGACTATTGAGAAGATCACAGTTCCTGGGGAAATAAATACATGGAAATTTTAGTGTGAACATCACAAAAACTTCCCAGTATTTCTACATTTGTGTTCCAATCCTAGGGAAAAATGGATGAAGAACAACTATTGACATTTTATTATACACAATAACAGTCTTTTTAGTCAGAAGAATTTTTCAATCAATTCCCACCTTGTCTTTATCTGTTATCTCTAGTACTTTATATCTTCATATCTATACTTTTGCCTATTGCAGGGAAATAGGGCTATTTCAAACTTGTCTAAAAACTAAAACTCTGTCTTTTACTACATCTGACTATTTTTCTTAGAAAATGTTTACAGATCATAAACTGATCAAACTTTTCTTCCTGTAACTCCAGAACCACAAAGACTCCCGGCTTCCCTACACACCGTACATATCAAAATGGGGAACCTCACTAAGTCTTTAGGATCACATATCCTGCCTGACACTTCCTACACTTCACATGCTCTTTTTTCCTCCCTAGATGTGTTCTTTATTCCTGCCCACCTGGCAAACTTGTTTTAATTTATCAAGTCTCAATTCACACACCTTGCAGCATTCACTTACTTTCCAGTGTACTAAACACTTGCAACATATTTTCATGATTATAATAATCTGTTGCCTAGAAAACACTTCGTCTTTCAATGCCTTCTATTGTAATTTCTTATTGTATTTTGAAGACTGATAATCAGTAATTTTCTTTAAATTCTCCCATTCTAGGTCACCCAAAAACTAAAGTGTTCGTAACTCACGGTGGAACCAATGGCATCTACGAAGCAATCTACCACGGGGTCCCTATGGTGGGCATTCCTCTGTTCTGGGATCAAGGTGATAATATTGCCCACATGAAGGCCAAGGGAGCAGCCATTGCACTGGATTTCATCACAATGTCAAGTACAGATTTGGTCAATGCAATGAAGACAGTCATTAATGATCCTTCGTGAGTACATTTTTTGTCAGCTAAGCAGCTTTGTAGATCAGCTATTTGATAATAAAAATAGATATTCTATTTTGAATGTAATTTTGAAAATTCAAATGATTTGAAATGGCCTTTTACTCTCTGTCAGTGATTTTTTTATGATTGAACAAACTGGAGTTTATTCCACCTTACACCGAGAGAAAACACACACATAGGAGGACCATGGAATGTATCAGTAAGTGGATGATACAAAGAAGATATTCCAGAACATAGTCTTTGTTGGAGTATCTAAGGAAGTGGGCACAGTTTATGAAAAAATAGCTCAATGAATCTTACTCATAGGGAAGGGGTGATTTTAATAAGCACTAAGCTGCATTTGTGTACCAGTGATTTTAACTGCAAATTGACCCCATAGCTTTAATGCTTGAACAGTTAATAATAAAACAATTTTTAAAATATATAAAACATTTACTACGTAATGAAAAACTTTTATTACTCTGACAGAATTCATCGTTGAAATGAACAATAAATTTGAAAAAAATAAACTATTTCAAATCAGTACCTAAACTTCCTGAAATTATTCATCTTATTCTTAAATTGTACACACTTTGAGACAAGTTGAACCTCTCCTGCCCTAAACTGCGGGTGCTGGGTATTTGTTCATAGTGACAAGAAAGCAGAAAAGTACAAGAATATTCTGTATGTCTTGCTTCATAACATTAGACTGCACAATGCTCAGCATGCTAGAAAGTGTTGCTCTGCTCACCCTGAGGCTTTTTACTTTTCTCCACGTTTTAACATTTCTCACACTTCATTGCTGAGTAATATAGCTTAGTACTACAAGACACATTTTGTTCATCCGTTTCTCACTCCATGAACTGTTTATGTTTCCAATTTTTACTATGGTGAGCTAGGCTTAGAATGTTTTTTGTGTGAATATGTTTTACTTCTTTTGTACATTAGCAAAGAGTAGAATTACTGCCTCATAGGAGAACTTCATGCTGTTGAGTGAAGTTCAGTCTCTTTTCCAAACAAACGTCAGTATTTCACACCCTGAGCCAGCAGTGTAGGAAAGCTCCATCTTTCCCACATCATTACAGAAACTTATTATCATCTCCAGTTTTCGTTATAGAGTTGTCACAATGTGCTCTCCGATTGTGATCTCACTTTTCATTTCACTTATGTACGAAAGTAATAAATAGTTGCTCACATGCCTATTGGTTATGCATATTTATACTTTGGTGAGATAACTTTTTCAATCCCTAAATCTTTTCTTAATTAGATCACTTGTCTTCTTACTATTTCGTTGTAAGTATTCTGTATGAAATATGGACCTAAACCCACTTTTCAGATAGTTGATTTGCAGATACTTCCTTCCATTCAAAATACATGGATTCACCCTTCCTGATGATGCATTTTTTTGTCTTTTTGAGACAAGGTCTCACTGTGCAGTTCAGGCTGGCCTTGAGCTCACTTTGTAGCCAGGCTGGTCTTGAACTCCCAAGGACCCTCCTGTCTCAGCCTCCCAAGTGCTAGGATTACAGGCATGTGCCACCACACCCAGCAATGATGCATTTTAAAGCACAAAATTTTGTAATGCTAATAAAATATATTTTTAGTAACCAAACTTTGTAATAAAGCAGCAGAAATCATGCTGTAAAATATGTACTTCTAATATGAACTCAACATTATATAAAATTATCAGTGATAATATTATGCCAACAGGATACCATTACAGGAATACTTTAATAATTCAATATTAAGAACAAAATAATAACAAAATTGAGTGATAAAAATACTTTAAAAATAGTTAAGAGAAAAAAATAGTCAAGAGATAATAAAGAAAGAAGATAACTCAGGTTGGAAAAAGAGAAGAGGAAATGTAGAAGATGAGAGGTTTAAATGTATTTTAATATGTACTTTAATCATAAACAGACTAAATCATTACAAAACAAAGATAGCCTGGATTTTAAATCTCACTATATATTATGTTTGTAAAATATGCCTAATGTAACTATATCTGAAGCCTATGAGTAAGAGTCAGCACAGATATGTTGTCATACTGAAGTAAGACATTGTAGATTTATCAACATCAATGAGAGCCAAAATATAATTAAATATTAAAATGAATATTTCACAATGCTAATTAATAAATTGTCCATTATAATATGATTTTTAATTTTGTAACTACTTATTAAGCCTCAATATAAATAACTCAAAAAGGAAAAAGGAAAAATATAAATATACATCTACATTCATTACAGGAAGCTTGAAAGTACCTTTATCAAAAACATTGAAAAAATGATAAAATAATGAATGAGAACACAGAAGATGTGAAAAGCCTAATAAAAAAGTCAAATACTGAAAAATATAAATATTTGCCCCATAAGACCAATAAATAAATTCTAAAAGATCCAAACTATTGAGAGCATATTGACCAAACATAGTAGAATTAAAATCTTTACATTTTAAAAATAGATAAATTTCTATTTTTATTTTAAAATAAAAATTCCTCAAGAAATGAGATTTAAGCAATATACTTCTAAACACCTAAATTTCAACAAAGATATTATAATTGTACATGCATTTCTATCACAGCAATTTTATTCATAACCTCATAAAACACAAAAAGTGAAGTGATGAACCCATATACATAAAAGAGTGTGTAAAATGACATTAAATATCATAGTGAACAACTGTTAATAATCCAAAATTTCCCAAACCATAAAATGAAGAGATGATATTCTGTCATAACTACATACAATTGAATTAAGTAACTGCCACAAATAGATTCAAAGGAGTACATGCTATATTATTCACATATGGAAATGAGAAAAAATGATGTTAGTAGTCAGAACAGTACTTAATTTGAGGAAGAAACTAATACTAACCTAGTCTACAGAGTTGTACTGGTTCTAAGGCAAATGTGACATTTAAAATCAAGATTTCTGTAGGTATATTGACATCTTTACTTCACAAGAATTATCAACCAATTATATAGTAAACAGCTATTCATTAGTGATAGGAGCATTTTACTAAGTAGTGCATATTTAAAGTTCTATTATGAAAAAATGAATTTTAAAATTCTACAAAGTGTTAAGTAAACATAGAACAATAGAGAAAAAGAGTGCATGGGAGAAAACCTTTCTTGTACATGACATTCTGTGACCAGGTGGCCCAACAAAGGACCCACATGTTATTCTAAGTATGATCAGAAGGCAGAAATTTTGAGCAGTATACTGTCCTAATCTGATGTGATTTTGAAGAAAACTCTGACTACTAGGTGGAAATTTGAGAGAAAAGAGTAGAGAAATTGAAACAGACTACTTAGTCAGCATTTCACCCTCTATGGCACAATTCTTCTTCAAAAACTTCAAGATGACAGTTTCTCACTAACCACATGTAGATAAAAATGGCTACAAGAAAACTCCAACATAAAAACTAAACATTCTAAGATGACCCACCTTGTAGTATACTCTTTTACTGTTTTTTAATTTACTTTTGGCAGTATTTTGACACGTTTTAACAAAAGTTTTTAAAAACCTTTGATAGACTTGGGAAAATCAACTGGCTTTCAATGTTGGTCTTTCTGTTTCCCTTGTAGCTATAAAGAGAATGCCATGAGGTTATCAAGAATTCACCATGACCAGCCAGTGAAGCCCCTGGACCGAGCAGTCTTCTGGGTTGAGTTTGTCATGCGCCACAAAGGGGCCAAGCACCTGCGGGTTGCGGCCCATGACCTCTCCTGGTTCCAGTACCACTCTTTGGATGTGATTGGGTTCCTGCTGGCCTGTGTGGCCACTGTGATATTCATCATCACAAAATGTTGTCTCTGTTTTTGCAAAAAGTGTTCAAAAGCAGGAAAGAAGAAAAAAAGTGAGTAGCTGTTAATTAAGTGTACCTTCGTCTGAAACTGGGAGTCCTGATAGATAGACCTCCTCCAGTTTATTCCAACAAGAAGAGATTATGGTGCCGGATTCCTTCCTCCTGTGACAAATTTGTACAAATTACTTTTTCAAGTCAAATTTTATTTTCCATGGGTAGGACCCCCCTGTTTATGAGTTAGAAATATGTCAGGTCAAAGAGAAATGAAAGTTAAAATAACACTGAGATTGCATCTCAGTGGAAAGAATGGCTATCATCAAGAAATCAACCAGTAACAAAAGCTGGGGGGATGTGAGGAAAAAGGAACCCTTCTCCACTGTTGGTAGAAGTGTAGACATATACGACCATTGTAGAAATCACTGTGGAAATTCCTCACAAAACTAAGATTAGAGGCCCCATTTAACCCAGCTACCCCCTTCTGAGTATTTTCCCAGAAGAATTGAAATCATCATACCACAGAGATATATGTGCACCCATGTTCATAGCAACACAATTTGTCATAGCTAAATCTTAGAAACAAGCCAAATGCCCATCAACAAAGAAATGGATAAAAATGTTGTGGTGTTTTTATATAACAGAGTACTACTCAGCTATAAAGAAGGCCAAACTGAGGGTTTTCTTGGTAAATGGATGCCACTAGAGACCATACTCACAAGTGAAATAATACAAACTCACATATGTAAACATCACACTGACTCCCGAGTGTAAGAAACTGAAAAAGTAAATAAGTCCCAAAGTCTACAAAAGATATTGTGAAAGGGAGAGAAACTGCTCAAAAGGAAAGAACAATTGGGTTGGGTTAAAGGAGAAATGAAGAAAGAGAAAAAAAAAATAGATATATACATGAGATAGATAAGATAGTTATACTACTGACTTCTTTTAGTTTATTGAAAAACTGTGTATGCTTATATTGTCTGATCAGTTATGAATACCTATGTCTTGTAATCTGAGCAACTAATTTGAAGTAACAATACACATTATGTTAATCATTGCTGATCTCCTATGATCTTGTTTTGAAATTGTGTATTATTGTATTTCTATTTTTTTCTGTCTTTTAAATAAAAAAGAAGGGGAATGTAAAATAATCAATCTCTATGAGTGCATAGCGAAAAATATTTCTGAAATTTAAAACTTATACCAAAATACTTTACTTAGCTTAGCTATGTTTCAAAAGGTGTTTATGGACACATAATGTTAAAAAGTCTATGCAAGATATGGATCTAGTTTTGCATGTATTTAGCCTTCTTTAGCTTCATTTTGATGCAGAATGGCTGGAGTGGAAAACCACACTATCATCATTCCCTTTAAGTCTAGAAATAATATTATAGATCATAATTTAGGGGTAGTCCAAATATTACAAACTTTAAATAAGTTGTATGACAATTAAACCACAAAATTGCCAAAGACCCTACTTTAAGACACATACCACATATGAGATTTCCGATAAAATTGGTCCAACTTGAAAATTCCATTCATTGCTAAGAAAAGTATCAGCAAGTCTCACAACAAATATTCTCCAGCCCAACACATTCATTTATTGTAAAAATAAGTTCAAAATTAATTCTAGAAAATTTGAGGGATTATAAAAGATTTCACTTCAGAATGTTTTCTTCTTTTTATTTAAAGAGAAAAAATAATAACAAAATAACAACAAAGACAAAAACAAAACAACTCAAAACACTGAAAATGATACAGGATTTCAAAACACGATGATAGGGATTAATAATGATTGTTATATTACATCATACCATCTTGCTTAGTGAAGCTCTGTATCATTTCTAATGTTTTTGTCACTTTTTATTCTCTAATCGTTTGATCAATTTTCCATTCTGACATCTGGTGATCTGGGCAACCTTCATAAGAGAATTTTTATGCGCTTCATCACATTTACAAGGAAAATAGAACCAAAACAATATATTGTGTAAAATCATCCACATAAGGTTGAATTAATCCTTACCAAATATACCATGCAACCCATGTAAGAACAAAGAATTGATATCCATTGTATAATTAGAAATACAACAAATAATCAATCAAAATTATAGTTAATATACACACATCTAAATATGAGAAGAACAGATGATTCACAAAGCTAAAACTAACCTATAACAATAGAAGATGGCATAAGTCACAGACACTTTATAAAACAGAAATTAAGTTACTATATTATTTTCCCAGAGAAATATTTCTGTGGGAGTATAATGGGGAATAATTCTACCAAATGGAATTGAAACAAGTATTTGACCCTGCAGTTCTACGTTTAGTAAGCTGTAATGCAGAAATACTTGCACACACACACACACACACACACACACACACACACACACACACACACATTTAGGTAAAGGATATTTTCTCTGGACTTTAAATGGCCACCACACAATTGATATATCTTTAAAGTTATAGAGTTAGCTAGGCATGGTGGTGTGGTCACTCTAGCCACTTTGAAAGCTGAGGAAGGAGGATTGTGTGAGTCCAGGAATTCAGGGCCAGTCTGAGCAACATAGTGAAATGCTGTCTGAATATATAATGTTATATGGTATACAACCATTACAGAAAATGGGTAGAGTATAAGCAATATCATTCAATATTCTTGTCCTACTGTGAAATATAAAAACAAGCTCCAGAGAAATTTTGTAAATTCTCCAGAACAAAATGAAACATATGTAAACTTCTGTAAATATAGAGGAAAAAATCTGGATGAACATTCAGAATTTCTAGCAAAATAATCTTAATATTTAGTTTTTTTGTACTTCTGCAGTATTTTTTTTTTGATGGGAACTCACTGTATTACTCAGGCTGACCTCCAACTCATGACCCTCTTGCCTCAGCCTCCTAAGTAAGTAGAATTAAATGCATACATCACTGCATGTCTTACTTTCTCTTAGCTGAGGAGAAAAGTACCAAACACCCACAAGTTACAGAAGGAAAGGTTTATCTTAGCTCACAGTCTGTAGTGGTTTCAGTCCATTGCTATCTGGCTCCAAGGCAAGGTGGCATGACAGATGGGCATGGTGGAGGAGAAACAGTTGTGGTGTGGCAGGCAGAAGTAGCACCCTTACTTATGTTTTTACCTTTTATTTTTCCCAGGCTACAAACCCACTCTTTAGTACTACTCACACCCACAGTGGATCCTTTCTCTTCAGCAAATCAGTCATCCAGGCACACCTGAACTGTGTTCAATCAATCAGAGTTAGTGGACTAATCCAGCCCCCATGATGCAATCACTCTCCAAAGCTCCACCTACAAGTGCATGAGGCTTTGGGGGACATACAGATATAAGCCATAACACTGCACCTGGTTGAAAGGATATTTCCATAAATTAAATGATTTGAAAATTAGTAAAATAAACATATTGATTCCCCTAAACAATTGTTAAAATGTGATAACATATTATCTTATGTTTTAGTGCTATTTAAACTACTTGAATGGACCAGGATCTGACCTACTATCTGTCTGATCCATTTGTGATTTTTTTAGAACACCTATTTCATATTTAAATTATCTATAATTAAGCATACTACAATATATAAATTTTAGTAGATATAAAACATAAATCATCACCACGTTCTGGTTTTATTGCCTCTAATGTCAACATTTAATGAACTGTGCAATAGATTAATGACCAAAGATGGGTTTTTTCAAATACTTCTCTTGGTGGTAATTTTGAACAGTAAATTTGATATTTTACAATCTTCCCATGAAGTCATGTTGACTTCAACTTTGGCAAACATTGCTTTGTCTCAGCAAAGAGATTGCAGGAGAGATGACATGGCTTAGCCAGCAAAACTCAATGAGCAAAGGCAGTACACACACTGCCTTGTTTCATTCCCTATCTTCCTCTCATTGTTTCACTTGGAACCTTAGCCACACCCAAAGGCGTGTGAAAGGCCATTTGACAGAGACACATAAAGATATGTCTAAGAAGTCTCTATTATACTACCTTCCAGCATTCTGAGTCTTTTGTTACTAACCACCAGATATGAAAGTGAATGCGCCCAGCCCCACACACCCTGCGCCAAGTGAGTGAGTGCTCCGGAAGGTGCTGGACCCGCAGTTCGAGTCCGTGCTTGGCTCACACTGCCACTGTTCCCAGCTGAAACTCGCAGAGAAGGCCAGGCATTTCCCATCTACTTCCTGAGGGCACAGCAGGCAAACCAGGACCCTGCCCCCAGTACAGACTGAGTCTCTCCCCTCCCTGCACCCATAGCAGAGAGGAGGTCCTCACTCAGAAGCCCCAGGGACTTCTCTGGCTGGGGGTGGGGTGTGCAGATTCTCCAAGCCCCACACACGCTGTGCAGAGTGAGCGAGTGCTCCGGGAGCTGCTGGACCCACAGTTTGAGTCCATGCTTTACCTTTGCCCAGATCCCCTAGAGTGTTGAAGGCTCAGGAAGTCTGTGACTGCTACCCATTTGACCTGCATCTGGTTCCTGTATGTATCCTGAACTGACTGGAGACATAGATTCAAGTGACTCACAAACTGCAGACCCTGCAGTTTGTGTCTGAATTATGCCTGTACCCTGAACTGCCAGGGGACACAGGTCCACTGGACCGGGATTGTCACACCAGTGCAACCTGAGTCAGGCCGTGCACATGCCCTGAACTGCAAGGAGACGCTGGATAAAATGGTTGGCCATCAACTGACACCAGTGCCCATGTCTGACAACGGGGATAACTAGATACAAATCAAAAACTACCACAAAACCCAAGACTAAGTAGCGCTTCTCAGAGGTCACTCAGGGGCAAACATGAACAACAGGAAAACTATGGACACTATTGGTCTTGGCTGAGCAGCTACTGAAGAGGGAAACTGAGCTTTCTGCAACCGGTAGAAAACATGACAAAATGAAGGACTGAAACACAATCCCAGAACTTCACTGCAATCAGAACAGGTCCAGGAGACATCAACATAGGAGAACATGGTAAACACATGCCTGAAATA